GTAATTTTAAAAAGTACTTGCCATGAATATAAAACTGATTTGTATTTGTAAAATATATAAAAACCTTTAATAAAATTGACTTTTGTGTCATATGCTTATCAGCCAATTATGATTTAAAAGATGTATCAGGACCTAGTTAACTAGCAACCTAAGGGGACAGTTGAGGCACAAATATATATGTTTCCTCTTACCTGTAGTGCTATTTATAAATCTAGATAGTGTTGGTGTGAGATGCAGTGTTGGAGATAATGGCCATCGAGATTAATACAATTTCTTTAAGAGATTTCCATTTCCAGAATTCAGGAGTTATTCAAGATGATCCACATACCTTGCTGCGCACAAAGAAGCATGCATTTACTCCTGGAGTTAAAACAACAGCTCAGTCGACACCATTAATTACAGTTCGCATTTGCAGCAGCTGGCCCTAGGCTCTGGAACAGTCTGCCCCTACATGTGAGGTCAGCCCAGACGCTAGGGGTTTTTAAATCTTCACTGAAGACACACTTCTTCTCTCTGCCCTTCTAGTCAGAGCTGAGCATGATACCTGACATTTCTCTGTGTTTTGTCTTTATATTTCTGCTGTAAATTTGTGACCTTTCTATTTTCTTTTCTTATGTTATTGTAGTGTGCTTTTCTTACATGTACAGCACTTTGGCTTGACCAAAAATCGTTTTTAAATGTGCTTTATAAAAAAAACTTGATTTAAGTTGTTATTTTATTGTATGTCTGTATTGTATTTGTATGTTCAGGACCCAAGACAAGAGGCCCACTCGCATCCTTCTTAAGGAAATCCCCTGAATAAGCTACAAACTACCTACATGTACTTTAACCATAAGGAGTTCTTTCTCACATCCCTCTCTGAAACATGTGTCTCTTTAGCTAAAGCAGGGTTGTAAACACTGTAAAAGGAATATTTACACTTCTTTAACCATAACAGCTGATTGAGCATTACTTCATAATTAAATATAGAGAGTAGGGCTGCACGATATATCGTGTCGTGACGATAATCGCGATATATACGCATGCTCGATATTCACATCGCAGGACGTGCGATTTTTTTTGTTTTTTATTGTTTAGGACTAGCGATATTAAGTAGGCAAATTAACTCAAACACGTCATGTTATAATTATTTTGCTGCTTGCTACAAAAGGAAAACTTGCGNAGCGTTCCCGCATTGACGTCACTTCCGGCTTCCCCCAAAACCTCAAAATGAGTCGAAGGAATTTTCCCGCGATGTTCGAAATTATTGATATTTATCGGAACGGTATCGCTTTTTCTTTTTAAACTGACGGTTCGAGATTACTAGTAGCCCACTATTTCATTGCACAACAGTTGTTGGGTTCGTGTCACAGGCACTTTAACAGACATTTATTGAAATTGAAATCTTGGAGAATATTTCTTTAAATATGTACTTATCTTTCCTCATCATACACTGACTGGAGGACCTATAACTGGGTCATTGAATCAATAAGGTATATGTAGAAAAGAGCAATACAAAGGTATACCACAGTCAAACAGGTTCCTGGTGGAAGACAGGTGTGTGTGTGTGTGGGTGTGTACGTGCATGAGACATAAGTGTGTATTCAGACATACAATAGGTGTGTCTCAGTTGCGGTTGGGATTCTGTACAGTAAGTCATCTCATATTTATCAATCACAAGATAAACATCCAATTAGTGATTCTATTCCTCAGGTATATTGATCAGAAGGTGTTGTGTTTGCCTTTCTTCCTCAGAGTTACGTGGCCCCAGACAAAGAGGAAATCACTGAAGATCTCCCGGCCAAAAAGACCCTTGGCAGCAAATCGGTATGTGCGTTTTAATATGTGTGTTTTGATGTGTGCGTTTTGATGTGTGTGTTTTGATATGTGTGTTTTGATGTGTGTGTTTTGATGTGTGTGTTTTGATGTGTGTGTTTTGATATGTGCGTTTTGATGTGTGTGTTTTGATGTGTGTGTTTTGATATGTGTGTTTTGATGTGTGTGTTTTGATGTGTGCGTTTTGATGTGTTTGTTTTGATGTGTGCGTTTTGATGTGTGTGTTTTGATGTGTGCGTTTTAATATGTGCGTTTTGATATGTGTGTTTTGATATGTGCGTTTTGATGTGTGTGTTTTGATGTGTGTGTTTTGATGTGTGTGTTTTGACGTGTGTGTTTTGATGTGTGTGTTTTGATATGTGTGTTTTGATGTGTGTGTTTTGATATGTGCGTTTTGATATGTGCGTTTTGATGTGTGTGTTTTGATATGTGCGTTTTGATATGTGTGTTTTGATATGTGCGTTTTGATGTGTTTGTGTGTTCCTGTGTTGACGTCGTGCGCTGGTGTGTGACATGTGACTGTGCTTGACAGGCCGGTCTGAAGGGAGTTATGAAAGGGTTACAGATCAAGTCGTCACCGAAGGTATGAAGCACCGTGTGTTTGGTGTTTCCTGCTGGTGGGGGCTGCAGCTTTTATCCATAACAATATCTGCTAATGACCTTTTACATGGAAGTACCGTGGCTTATGCTGCAGTGGTGATAATGGTGGTGGTTGAACAGTAACTGCTTGGTGATATTTATCTGGATTGTTATTAAATGAATGGATATTTGAAAGTGTTGTCTTTGGTTTAAAAGAAGCATTTTGATAACACATGCTCAAACTAACCGGAGTATACCCTGTGAATGATTTGATGAGATTTTTCGATATACCCCTACTGCCTTTTGTTTACATGTTGGTGTTTGCTCTTGTCTGTTGGTATGGAATAAAACATTTGAGATGATTATTGTGCTGAAGATTGTTGACTCTTATTAAAGATCAGCAGAGACCCGAGTCCAGAACCCAGAAGCGAGGAAGCCGGCTCAGAAAAGGAAGAAAAAAACAAGCCTGAAAGAAATGCCGAAGCGAAACAGGTGAGAGAAAAACTGTCCCTGAATTTTTCTTTCTGGACAGATAACACAATAGTGGTTAAAAAAATAAGGTTTCAGAGAATAACAAAGTGAAAACATATCTTTAAAAGTGCTCAAATAAACAACTCAGAAATAAAAAATAAATGTGCTAACACTAATTAAACCAAACATTAACATTATGTTCACGTTTCTCTCTCTTTAAATGTCTACAAGCAAACAGGGAGAACAGATTTCAAACCAATGTGTTAAATAAAGACATTAATGTGGCTTTCTGTTAGACAAGTAAACATCTAATTGTTTTCCACCTTTTGTTTAGGATATCGGAGATAAGATTGCAGGAATGTTCCGCAAAACTCCCAAAGAGAAATCGTCGTCTCCTGCTGTGACGGTAACTTAAACTCTTCTGCTCACATCATAAATGTCACTTTCAGTCTCTCAGTTCCTCATACTCATTGTTCTGCCATTTCACCCCCAGGTCCACAAAGCAGACAGTGATCTTGAAGATGAAGAAGAGGAAGAAGCAGAAGATAAGGTAGCTTTTTGTTATGGTATAATATACAGAGTGTCCCTTGGCATAAAGCCCACTTCACACAGAAACAGACCGTTATCAGGGGTGTCAAACTCACACACAATACACAGTGGGCCAAAATAAAAAAATCGGCACAAGTCGAGGGCCGGACTGGTTCAATGTTTATTGCAAAACTTATTGAAATGAACTTATTGCACATATTAAACCTGGAACTAACAAAGCTTAAATTATTGCCTATAAAAACAACATTACATTTAGCTGACGCTTTTATCCAAAGCGACTTACAATAAGTGCATTCGACCAACAAGATTCAAACTTGAAGAAAACAGAATCATATAAGTACATCAGGTTTCAGCTAAAACATTTCAAGTGCTACTCAACTGGCTTTAGATAAGCCAGTCCTTTATTAGTATATAACTAAGTGCTTTATTAGTATATAAGTGCTTTGTTAGTAATTCTATCACTCCAACTGGAGTCGAAAGAGATGAGTTTTCAGTCTGCGCCGGAAGATGTGTAAGCTTTCTGCTGTCCTGATGTCAATGGGGAGCTCATTCCACCATTTTGGAGCCAGGATAGCAAACCCACGTGTTTTTGCTGATGGGAACTTGGGTCCCCCTCGCAGTGCGGGTGCAGCGAGCTGTTTGGCTGATGCAGAGCGGAGTGCACGTGCTGGGGTGTACGGTTTAACCATGTCCTCGATGTAGGAAGGGCCAGATCCATTCTTAGCATGGTACACAAGTACCAGTGTCTTGAAGTGGATTCTAGCAGTTACTGGAAGCCAGTGAAGGGAGCGGAGGAGCGGCGTGGTGTGGGAGAATTTAGGAAGGTTGAAGACCNNGCCAGAGGGCGGTGGGATCAGCTGCTCAAGGGGGTCCCATGCGCAGGAGACTCAGGTGAGATCCTAATATAAATTCCTCGTACGTAATAAACCTGATTCTTAACATAAAACAAAACGCAGACCACGTTGAGCCCCCAAAGGAACAAACACAAGAACACATCACACACATCTCGAGTAGAAACAAAAGCCAATGTAAGAAGATCGGTCTTCAGTCGTTTCTTTCACTCTTAAAGGTTCGGACTAGGGCTGCACGATATATCGTGTCGTGGCGATAATCACGATATGCGCGATAGTCACATCGCAGGACGTGCGATATTCAAGTAGGCAAATGAACTCAAACACGTCATGTTACAATTATTTTGCTGCTTGCTACAAAAGGAAAACTTGCAGGGGTACCTGAGTGAGTGAATGCAGCAAACCACCAATCACAATCAAATCTCCAAAGCAAACGGACCCGGTGATTAAAGGTAAAAACACTGAATAAAGTCGTTTCATGTGTTTCTCCAGTTCGGCGCGGCTAACCGAGCTAGCTCAGCTTGTTGCTCTGATAACTTAAGATCCAGACGTCCGTGACTAAAATCCTTCATCCGGTTGAAGATAGTTAAAAAAAATACCAATTGTATAGCATTAAAGTTGAAGAAAGGATGGTTTGCGGGGAAAAAAAACGGTCTTTTCTCTTGTCAGTTTTTTCCAATATCGTGCAGCCCTAGTAGAGAGTGTCAGTGGAGTATGTGAGGGTGGATCTGTCCTTTAGTTACCTGTCAGATATATGAGGATGTTGCTCCGGTCGTCAGAGAGGAGGCGTTTGGAGCGCGGCGTGCTGGGCGGCAGCCGGCCCGTCAAAACACGCAGGAAGTTCTCCACGGTCACCTGAAGAGGATACAGATACAATATTCATGCATGAGTCAGATGTGATGTATTATGTAATGTGTGTCTTCTAATTCAACACACATCCACTGAGGCTTTGTATAACAGTGAGCAGTGACACACACACATTTAAAAAACTGAACGCCTGCATCAGTGGGGTCAGTAGAAGGTAACTGCTCTATCTTTTAATTAAACTGTGAAAATCAATCTTGTATTATTTTCTTCTTTGTTCCCCCTCTTGATATTTTATCTGCTTTTCTTGCCTGTAATTACCGTTGGACAGCAAACATTGATCGGTAGCGCGGTATTTGTTCATATTTAAAGGACACGAAGCAGGGTAAATAATCAAAATCAAACTGTGATAAAGAGTCGATACGCTCCAGGGAACTCCGCCTTGTGGTAACAAACACAACACCTAGAGGCGACTCTATTTGAGAATGCAAATTATATAAAATCATTTCCGGCCCAACCGAAAGAGCAAACACTGGACTCACAGTGTTGACATTAACACCCTCCAGTTCCTGACTGCACCTGTATAATATTTGCCTACAAGTGATATTATATATCAGTATTTAGTTACTATAAAGCTGGTGAAACACTACATGGATACATCCACCTTGCATTACATTTCAGATTTTAAACTTTTTCTGAATGTCTTGTTCATTAAATAGAAAACATATGCAAACATGTAATAACTGTGCCTGATGTTTAAAAGAGAATATGCCGGTTAAAACTCTCGCCAAAGGGGTAAGAATATATTTCAAACAAATGTATGAATTTTGAGATGTGGAGTAATCTGTTTTTTTAGCCTTCAAGATGCAGACATGTACTATTAGACTTTGAAACAGATTGTAAAAAGGGAAACTGGCTTGTTTGTGTGAATAACCTTCTGACTGCAATGCAAACAGACCTCATATCCTCTGTAGTCCACCTCCACGTCGTCACCGTACACGTTCAGCTCCATGTTCTTGTGGCTGAACACGGTGGCAGGCTTGGGGTTTCTGTGGTTACAAGCCATGTCATCAGCCAGCATGAGAACTATGCGGCTGGAGAACGAGAAAACAACAGAGACCATTAAAGATGACGACATTAGAAAACAAGGTAATGCTGCATTTGTCCTAAACACAGGTTCAGTGTGTCGTTAAATACCATTTGTGTACTGATTAGTTCAATTTAGGTTTTCAGATGCTTTTTATAAAAAGAGACTTTTTTCACATACACACAAAGGATGATATATTGAATTCCTGTCTGTCTCTCAAAAGAATATTATTTATTTAATGTCTACTTGGGTGGAAGTTTAAATAATAAATCAGGCAAGCAGTTAGTTAAGCAAACACAAAGACAAGGTCATATTATGCCTCACAACAGTTCATATCGTGAATTAATTCATATCTGTGGCTTGGATCTTCTGAGACATTATGTAGTTAAGAATACTGATAGCACTTGTGATGAAGTATGTCTTAAATACATTTTCAGTTGGCAGAAGCTCAAGATTTTAAATGGCAGAATAAAGGATGAGAGGGTTCTGCCGGAATACTCGTCACTTTCTTACTTTTGTAAAGTATGATCGAATGTCTTTTAGTGCTTGCCAACATTTTAGTTTGCCATGTATACAATCATAGAAAGTGTATTCCTAGAGTTTAGGTGACCATGCCAGGCAGGAACAGGAAAGTGAAACATTGGAATAGTAGTATTGTACACTGATTAAAAAAATATCTTGACTTACAGCGAGATAAAATGGTTGTGAGGATTTCTTGTGAGGCTCAATTGGGAGTCCAGAACTGTACCTATGTGTTTACATGTTTGCACATTTTCAAAATGTTGGCCATAGTGTTGTGATCGATTATCATTTTTATAGTTCATTAATCTGATGATTGTTTTGATGAGTGTTTAGATTAATAGACTAATCATCTAAATCTGTCTCTGTTCTAGAAAACCACAAGATCACGGTTACGTATCCAAAGATATGATATGAAATTAGACATTTTCAATACAGAAATGTTATTAAAGTTACCTGTCAGGAATGCCCAGCCTCTTAACACTCCTGTAGACGGATAAAGTGTTTGCCACATGACGGTAGTTGAACCAGAATCTGGATGTACACACCTGAGCATCAAACAAATAAGAAAAGCAGCTTTCACAAACATGTTTCTGCTGCTGCCATCATTAATGCAGACAATCAATTAGCTAAAAATGAAATGTTTAAATCAATAAATACTCACCAGAACAGCCCAGTTGTTTGTATGACCACTGCTAAACAACTGCCCTGCGCTTTCCTAAGAAATGTAGGGGAAATTAATAAATAATTGTATTAGTTTCGTCTCATACGAGCAATCAGACTCATCACCACAACAGCTAGCATGACAGCAGAGAGAGCTAACATGGGAACGGCGTTTCAGGTGAAATTCAAACTAAAACAAACTAATTTACGGGATAATAATAGCTGCATGTGAAATAATACAGACTCACTTCGATGTTGATGCTGTTTGCTGATGAATAGGTGGCAAATAAGCTGAATAAAGTGAGTATTTTCATTGTGCAGCTCTGTTAGCTGTGGGCATCAAGGAAGTGAAAACCGGCGACTCCGTCCAGTAAGTGCTTCCGGTAGAATTAATTTCAAGATAAAAGCGCAGGCATGGAACATGTGGAAGGAGAAATAAATATTATTTTACTGAAAGAATACAGTAAAGTTAACCTCTAAGATAGCTGCTCTTTTTCATGGTTAATTGTTAAGAGATTTTATGTTGACAGTTAGCTGGTACATCATCTCTAGTCAGACACTTTAGACACTTTTTGATTAAACCATTTAGCTTTTGATAAACTTCAAATACAATGGAGTATGTGCGAGGAAAATATTGTTGTTTTCTTTTGTTCTACTATACAGCACGTGCTCATTGAAATAATGTGTCCCCTAAATAGAAAAAAAGCTTATATGATATAGCTTTTTCCAACCTTTTTCCGCATAGAAATACAAACACACATCAAATACACATACAGAATGTCCAAATCACAAACAGATGACATACATGCTAGTTGTAAATGAATTCATGAAAAAAGGAGATATTTTATCTTATTTCACTTTGATATTGTAATGAGTTGTTGGTTTTGTGGTTTCTTGGAGTTGTTTTTCATGTGTCAATTCATTTAAGACACTTAAGGGGTTGGCATTAGACACAGATGACTGCATGTCTAATTCAGCGAATCATAATTCAGTCATATGTGGCAGATGGAAAAAAGAAGATTAGAAGTCAAGTAATGTTGACAGCTTCGTATTCAAATGCCTAGCCAGCTAATTGCTGAGGGAATTCATAATGAGAAGTGACATGTAGGCTACTGTACTGTATATCACATGCAGCAGATGTCAGAAGGCGCGTCACGTCTCTGCTGAAGAAGCCTCAGTCTGGCAGCCCTGCAGTACAAGATAAAGCTATGAAAAAAACATATCCTTCATGCAATTCTAATGTAACATTACAATGCAGCAGGTTCAAGGTCTTCTTGAAAAGCAGCATCAAAATCAGTTTGAGAAACCGTGGAAAGCCTTCACGGGTCTGATAACCACTTAAATACAGCGGACGTCTCTTACTTCTGCTGCTTTTTTTTTTTTTTTTGCATCGATATCATCATAGCAATGCCCTCCTTCAAATACATCACAGTAGAAAATGAAAAAGCAAGGATAGTACGCCAACAAAACAGATTGTGGTTGCGTAAATCTAATCACTATGCCATATTCAACCCATAATTAGCATTTATTGTCCAGTGACATATTCTCACTCATGATTCCAATGTCATTCAGATTCAACACACTGATGTTGCTCAACTGATCTAAAGTTGTTCTCTGATACAACAAGGTGACTTAAAGTCAGCTGTCCAGAGGATTAGTGGCCTCTAAGCATCAAATCTTATGGAGCATACCAGTGGCCTATTCGTGTTGCCTAAAGAAGACTTGATCCAGTGGAATTCGACTTTTGAACCCTTGTTTATATGCTTAGCCTAAACTAGACATAAACATTGGTATGCAGGTTAAGTGGTGATCGACCTGGAGCTAAACACTTGCACGCTGCTGCACTGGAGGCTCGTGCCAGTCTTGGTCAAATATTTATATATACTCAAGAGGACACGATCTCTGTTTATATCAATGACGCTTGGTGGTGAAGCGATGCATTTAATGGACCATGTTTCCCTGATGTCAAATGTTTTGATGCCTGACATGTTTTCTGTCCAGATAATTCATTACATTACAAAACATTACATTAAGCTGATGCTTTTATACAAAGAGACTTACAATAAGAACAATCAACCATGAGGGTGCAAACCTGAACAGAAATGCAATAGCTTTCAACAAGCCAAACAATTTAACCATGGTTGTTTTTATTGCTTTTTTATTTCTCGTGTTGCAAATAAAAAAAATACACCTAAGGAATTTTACTATTACTATCTTAAATATTTTGGGTTGCAATGCTTTTGCTAGTACATTACATTTGGCAAAGATCAGGTACAAAGCATGGTCTCACACAAGGACAAAAGAGTTATTGTACAATATTTACCTACTAGACTTATCCCATCTCTGATCACGGGATTTAAGTGTCATTAGTTTTATTATATGACAAAACCTTCTAAAATAGAGCCAGTGCATTGAGTTTGAAGACCTACTCTGCATTTGGTAAGTATAGCTTGACAAAAGACAAAAGGGTTACACATATATGGAAGGAATTAGATTTAATTAAAAGCTTGTGAAGTGGACCTTGTGTTTGTGTTATAAACAGGTTAAGGTGAAACTCTGTCCTTGTTGTTAGCTGATAGAGCACATGAGGAAAACAACAATAACATGTTTTCTATACCCAAAACAAAATTAAAAGCATCTATCTGGGGACCATTATCCCATATCTGTTACAATTTGACTCTTCTGTTAATAGCAATAAATATTAAGAAATAAAATAAAAAAGTTTACCCTAAAATGTTGTGCCTCTCTCATTGAATGGCTGGCCCCTGGGATGGATTATCTTCATTCATCAGATACACACCCACAAATCAACAACATGTTCATTTTGAAAAACATTTCAAGTGTCTATTCTTTGGATATATTCATTGCAGTAATTCATGCAAACCAGTAATCTGAGACATTGTTTACAATTTGGTGATGATTCAGGTTTTTTGTGTTAATTGAAGAGCAGTTAAAACAGACTGATTTGACCGGGAAAACCAAAGTAAGGGGCGCGAAACGAACACGGCAGGAGGGTTAAAAGCACCTCCTACTGGACCATTACCGCCATATATGTAATCATTGGTGTCTTTTCTTTCTGTTCATTACTGTATCTTTCTCTCCAACAAGTTTGGGGATGACTGTAGCCGGTGTAAAAAACGCCACGTTGAGGGAGTGCGTGCGTTATTTGGCACAGCGCGCGACCTCTGTGCCAACGTCAGGAGGCACACATGGTGCGCGCTGAGGCAGGAGCTGTAGGAGGGGAGACGCATCGCATCACCGAGGAGGGTGGCGCGGTGGCATCGCCTGCAGGAATCCAGTTGTAAAGTCCACACACGAGGCTAAAATGCGCTGAAGGGAAACTGCCTGGAGGTCCGCTGTTAACAGAGATCAACCCTAACGGAACCGAGACACCGGGAGAAGAAAACATAAACAAAGAAACGCTCCGGACAAGTTGTGATTTCAGAGGAAATCCGACTGGAGATGAATACCAACGATGCCAAGGAGTATCTCGCGCGGCGGGAGATACCTCAACTATTTGAGGTGAGATATTCTGAAACATGGGATGATATGTGAAGATTGTGCTGTGTGATTCTTACACAAAGACTCATCACTGCATGAGAGAGTGATGGCAAACAACTCAATACATGTTGTTATGGCTGATGGATTGGCGATGACTGTCCTTACTTATTGATTATAAATAATGGTTTGAAGAAGGGGAACGCTGTGTTTTATGGTGAAATGTATGATAATCACACAAATTGTAACCAAACAGATTTATTTTCTGACTTAAGATGAAGAATGATTTCGGTAATAATCTATTTTCAGATGCAGACTGAATTCCATTTGAATGACAAATTAATAGTAGCATTAAAAATACATGTATTGCAATTATTGCAGAAAATAGTATCATGATCTGACTTGTGGAATATTAGCATATTGTATACGAAAATACTATTAAGTAACTATGAAAGAAGTCTCTACAGGATTATTATACCATTAGAGGTAAAATGCAATCAAGAACAATAAAGACAGCATTACACTCTCTATTAAGCTGCATTGAGGAACAATATAATAATGAGGTATTTATTTTCCTGAGGCAACTGTAAATTGGCTCATCCACTTAATTAGACTCAATCCATGCAGTGCCGCTAATGCAAGCAATCAATGCATGTTTATTTACAGCCAGTTCAAATTACACTGAGGAGTGAAGTGACACATCATCCAAACTGCACTGTAATGTTACAGATCTTCATTATAAGCCATCAGATATGAGCACAGACAGTGGATGGCTTTCAGTGGGGAGAAGCTGTGTTCATGGGTGGGAGTTGTTAGAGAGGAGGGTGGGGATGAGGAAGGAAGTCCCAGAGGAAAGTATTGTTTTAAAACATTCATGGTCTGGGGAGCAAATGTCACACAAACATTAACTTGTGTTTTGGAGCGCGGTTCATTTTCTCACATTCATCACTGTGGCTCCTCGACAATAACAGCCTTACAAATCAACACATCAGAGTCCTGATGACCTGAGCTCAATTTCAATGGGCTTCTGACAAAATGAGATGTTTTGTTTCCCCTGTTGGAGACCAGCCAAGGCAACCATGATCTGCACTTCAGAACTTCTCCTCATTAAAAAAGGCAAGATGTCATGATGCCTGAACAAACATCTCATTCTCCCTCAACAAGTCCTCCTCCTCCTTCATTATTTTCTCCAGAGCCTGCTGACAGGTCTGATGTACTACCGACCCGAAGACCCCATCGACTACTTGGAGGGCTGTCTGAAGAAAGCGAAGGAGCTCGGAGGACCAGAAAAAGTGCGGTGGGATACCTTCGTGGGCCAGGAGAAGAAGTCCCTTCCCCCTCTTAATGGCGGCCAATCGCGCAGGTCCCTCTTCAGAAATGGTGAGCAGTAAATGCTGATTGTACAGAAGCACTTTAGAGCTGAAACGTGAATCAGTCAATCGATTATTTGATTAACAGAAAATTCTTATGCAACAATTTTTGATAAGCGATTAATTGTTCAAGGGGAAAGAAAGAAGACAAAACAATGATGGTTTCTGCCTTTGAAATAAGATCACGTTTTTTAAAGTAGACAGTGTAGGTTTCAGGTCAAAAAAATATCCAGTGTTGAAAACGAAAAGATAATACAGACACAAATCTTAAGTAGAAAGTGGACCGAATTTAATTTAGCCAATTAATTCTATCAATTAAATCATGCTAACGTTTAGATCTGGTGGCCATCTTTATAGCTTGTACTTTCTTTAGGTTAAAGACTGTTGTTGCGGTCGAAAAATATCACTAGAATCCGACTATTATTATCTTTGAGAAAGCAAAATAGTTCTTCTGATTTATCAATAAATCACAAGTTACACACCAGAATCAAATCATACACATTGGAGCGTCTTCAATGGTTGATTAAATGCTACTATAAGAACCAAAATGTCATGTATTTGACTTCTCTCCAATGTGTCTGGCAGCAAAACAGCTTCCTCTCCCACACAATAAAAACTGGCTCACTGTTTGAGCAGGAATGGGTGTTGACATTTGTACTGTAACCCACATGAGCCCTTTTGTAGATGACTTGTTAAAACACTTGGAGTCTTTTTTCCAGGCATGTTGTGAAGCACAGCCGTGTGCATCAATAATTCCTGATAGATTTGGTGGGCCAAAATCGATAGAAGTGTCTCTCTGAGGCATCGAAGCGCCCACAAACAAAACAAAATACAAAGGTTAGAAGAAACCACTGCTGCTGCTTCCAAACATGTTAGAAAACAGAATCCTGTATTCAGATCACATGCTGTCATGTCTTTGATGCATTCACTGACCTGTGGCAGGAAAAGTCAGATGAGTGTCTGCAGTGAGTCATTACTGTAATACAGCTTTCCTGGCAGGTCTTAGCCATGCGGAAAGCTTGTTTTGAATTTGTATGATATGCTAATGATTTTTTTTATTTGCATTATCTATAAGAGCTGTTTTGAATTCCAACAATCACTTCTTTGTTTGACGGTGCGTGTCAAGCATGGCAGCAATGTAGAATCAAGAAAAAAATAGTTAAGGCCCGTCCACACTACAGCTTCAAAAACGGTTTCCAACGCGTCTGCCCATTCACTTTGAATGGGGTGACGTCACGTTGCCTCGCTTTTCGCCCAACATAGCGGTCCGTCTCCGCCGTCTCCGGCTGCAGAAGTTGAACAATGCTCAATCAAATCCCGTTTCTGAAAATCTGACAGCTCAAGCCCTAGCCAATCAAACCGCGTCTAAGCCGTTAATTTCTATATTTAAAAAAAAGATGGAGGAGAAACTAATTATCGCCGTAGCAAATCACCCGGTTTTGTATGACCAGACCCTTTTCACCTACCGGGATACAAACCGGAAGAACCAGTCATGGAGGGAGGTGGCAGAGACAGTGGGTGAAACTGGTAGGTTTTCGCCTGTTTGGGGATTTGCGGGACATTCATGTGATTGGTTGTTGGTCGCGGTGCTCGAATAAAATCCCCAAGCTACAGACACGCCCAGCTCCAAGCTTTTTTTGAAGCTGTAGTGTGGATGGGCCGTTACTTGTTAGTTAGTAAAATGTGCTTTTGCATCTTTAAGCTGACATGCACATCTCCTTCACAAAAGAACTTGACAGTCAAGATGTGTTGAGGACGGACGGCTTGAATAAAGTTAGTTATCCCTTTCAAATATCAGAATTTTTTTTGCCAGCTGCAGCGTTTATTTGCTGGGAAATTAAGCCTGATCAGAGATTCACGTGTCCTGCGGTTCCCCTCCAGGCAGAAAGCCGAAGCCATGTTTCAAACGTTTGCTGGTCTCGCTTCCTGAGTTATTCCGCACTCTGCCCCATTGACTGTTCAATCTGTTAGAAAGGTAAAAAGAGCCTAGAGTATAGACTCAGGCAAGTGGGGCAGCTTCAGTTATTCTCAACCTTTTTTGTTCTCTGAAGATTTCAAAATATCTCCCTCTATCTCTGGCACATGTTCTGTCATCAGTAACATGTTCAATACCATCCTCATTGTTATAATACAGTGTAAAAAGATAACATTGGTTCTGCATGTAAATATATAGCAACTCTTGGAAAGCATGCAAAATGGATTCTCTTTCTGGTAAATATGTTATTATCTATGCCTTATTCACAAGAGACAGCTGTGCGAAACGGATCGAAGCGCTGAATTACACAACAGCTTCATCTGTTGGTAAAGCTGATGGTTTTTTATATATTTTTCTGAATAGGGCTTTGCATCGTTTTAAACAATGTGAAAAAGCACAAAACTACAATAATTAAGATAACGGTGAGCTTTGAAAACATTTTCTTATCAATACTTCAGATGAAAAGCAAAGGAATTGGGTCTCATCAATACCGTGTGTGTGTGTGTGTGTGTGTGTGTGTGTGTGTGTGTGTGTGTGTGTGTGTGTGTGTGTGTGTGTGTGTGTGTGTGTGTGTGTGTGTGTGTGTGTGTGTGTGTGTGTGTGTGTGTGTGTGTGTGTGTGTTACAGTTTTGCCCGACAGTCCCAATTTCCCCTACAGAAGGTATGACCGCCTCCCTCCCATCAGCCAGTTTTCCATCGAGAGCGACTCGGACCTGTCGGAGACGGCGGAGCTCATAGAGGAGTACGAGGTGTTCGATCCATCCAGACCGCGACCCAAAGTCATCCTCGTCATCGGTACAGTACCAGCACACACACATTAAATCCATGCATACATGTGAACTTACACTAGTAGGAAAACTTGGAGGTAAACATGTCTCCCCATCAAGGATGTTAGAATATGAAGCTGCTCACCAGGATTCCAGCTGACTCGTGTGTTCCATTAGATAACAGCAGGCAGCAGATATCTTTTATGTGTAAACAGAAAAAATACTTTGACCAGTGTCTAGTTAATGGATCTGAAGGGAGCTTTTATGCTTTTATGAAAAAGCTCAACACAAATATAAAGTCTATATAAACCACATTGATGATCCAAGAATACATGGCTTTGATGGTATTCAAGGAGCTGGGGAGTGAGTGTGTGTGAGTGTTTGTGTGTGTGTACGTGTATGTGTACGTGTGTGTCTTTCCTGGTACGGTATTTTGAACTTGGCCCCGCCTCTCTGTGTTGCTATCAGCGGGGGGGGATCTTGTTGCATATCACTACTTGTGTTCGACGCTCACTGTCACGCTCTCCTAATCTGATTTGCTTCTTGGGCCTGCATTAACCTCTCAAACACTTTCATTAATCTTATGAATTAAGCATGGCAGCTGCACAATGAGAGTCATGACACTGGATGAGCTGGACCGAAAAAAAGCTGCTATTTATAAACCCTCTTTAAAAAAAGTATATTTAGGTTTTTAAATAAGCAAGAAAAGGACTTGGGTGTCTGTTAGAAGCTTTTTAAAACCTCCCGACAGGCCTCTGCTGCGGCATGCTTTGATTTTTAGTTTGGACCTGGCTGTTCAGTTTCCCTGAAGTGTGGATGATTGTTTTTTGTCCTCGCAGCACAAAAGCCAGTTCCTATCTCGTCTTTGTGAGCACATTGTGCCCTATTTTTAAAGGAAATGAGGATGGCAGCAGCTGTCATCTCTTTGGATGGTCGTGCCAATAGTTTGTCAGGTTTGCACAGAGAGAGACGGACTGACAAAGACACGTTCGTTCAGGATGAAGCTGGGTCGAACATTGCGAAACTCTCAGATGTGAGATAAAAGTGCACTTTCTTTTGGATACGCACTTTTTATTTTTAGATTATATCTCTACCCCTCCCTCTCTAATGCTTTCAAACTTTCACTTTTTCTTCTTTATCATGTGTGACATTCATATTTGACTAAATCCATGGGTCTTTTATATTAAAAATCTAACAGGTAGTGCACTTTAATGACACTTCAAGGGACAATTCATCCCCAAATCAAAACCACAGGTTTCCCTCCTTATTTCTTTGGTTTTGAGCTGTTGAGTGTCAGAGATATTGTCCTTAATGTCTACCTTCTCACGAATATAATGGAATAAAAATAGATAGCACTGGGCTTGTGGTGCTCAAAGAGGCAAAACATGTTTGTAATCAACATTACGGACATTATGACCCAGTTAGGCAAGATTAGCCACAGATCATGTAGTGAGAAGTATTATTCATATAATTTCCTTCTACTGATGTGCAACCACGAACTGTATCATCAGTTAGAAGCATCTATAGAGTGACTTCTACCAATCTTTACAGCGCTGCAGACAAGGAAAGCAATTAGAACTGTAAGCAAGTTCAGGAAGTCAACTCGAGGACACACACACACACACACACACACACACACACACACACACACACACACACACACACACACACACACACACCTTACCCTCTCATACAACCAACTATCTTTCTCTTTAAGCTGCAAAGATTGCTATCTCGCCCTCTGCTTTTCTGCCCCACCACGACCTCTACATCCACCTAGGACCCGGGGGATAGTTATCTAGTCACCACTCCTTAATGTTCTTTGTAAAAAATATTTAGGGGAAGTGATGAGGCCGGAGCCTAGAAACTCAAACTACACTCTGCTGTTAATAAACATTTGGTGGTTGTCTGACTGAAATACATATATCTTGCAAAACACCAGCTGATGGTCCAACAGTGGACGCACACTACTTCTGCACAGTGTTACATTTAGTGAGTGTAGTTTGGGTGTTAAGAAAATAGTTCCTACATAGGGCTGCTCGATTATGGCAAAAATCATAATCTCGATTATTTGGGTCAATAATTGATATCACGATTATTAAAAACAATTTACTTTGAAAACATCAATTTATTGGAGAAAAAAAATGTGAACAGCATGTTTTTAACAGTTGATTACCCTGAACTGTAAGTATAATTCAACTGAAAAAACAATAAATGAAAAAAATTATTAAAATAATTTAAAAAAAATCGTTTTATTTCGATTACGTTGTTTTCGTAATCGTTGCAAGCCATAATTGTAATTGCGATTTAAAATACGATTAATTGAGCAGCCCTAACATGATTTCTGGAAAGAGACATTGGACCGCTTTGGACTATGTGACTGTTGCCAGCGTCCATAGCATAAAGAGCAGTGATATACTTATTTATGAGCGACTAAAAGGGGTTAGCCGTTTCCTATTGATTGATTGATTGATTGATTGATTGATTGATTGCCGTTGAGCTTTTTAAATGTTCATTGACGTTTTGAGCACCAAAGGACCACCTGGATTCATTTTATTGAAGAAAAGGCAAGCATTTCTGTAGCCAATATATTAGATAACATTCAGCAACTCACACCAAAACCATCTAGATGATTAAAATCAAAACAGGTAAAAGGACATTTATAATTTGCGGGTAACTAATAGTCTGTTTAAACTGAACTGATCCATTGATAATAAGATTTGTTGTCGAAATGTCAGATTATTGACCCCATCGGTAAGATTGGGACAAACATCGATACACAATTTACGTCAATCATTATCCCTCAGGATTCAGTTTGAGAACACATCACAATAATGAAATCAGGTTGTCTATACTGTATTAACAGAATGATTTATGAGCAATCACTGATTTGTAATGATTTTCTGCACACTCTTCTCCTCTTCACTATAAAAATCATTTCTGGCATGATGGGATAAATTGCCTAGCGGCTTTGTTCTCCACATAATTTCACTTTCGATCAGCCCTGGCTTTATACTAGCAGCCATTTTGGAGCGGTTGAGATTTCTGTGGAAACAGGAGCCTCTCTGAAATCCTGGAGTGACAGGCAGTAAAAGCAGCTTTCCATTTGTAGACATGTAGAGAAGGCTTTCACTTTCTGACAGCTTGTATGTGCATATCTTGCACCATTAGGACATTATTTCTGATCAATGGATTTCCCATACTCCAATTTAATTCCAAAATATCAACTAAATATGGTTTTGTCTTGCCGTTTATACTTTTGAGTGAATTCTGATTATTTTATATGTAACATTGTGCTGCGTTGAGTCCTATTTTACATCCATTCATGTACTTCTACTTACTATTTTGATAGTTTTATGTCTTATATGTATTTATGTTGCATTGTTGGAGGAGCCTGGGACTTGAGTTTGTCATTGCCACACTACACTGTAGCTACTGAGCATATGACAATATAACCTTTGAATCTTTTCATCTTGAGATGTTAAAACAAACGCTATCACGACAAATATTGATAAGGATGTCTTCTAAACTATCCATAGAGCTGAGAGCTGTCTTCTGCTGTCGTTACTTTGCACATCCTTCTTCCAATTGAAATTTAAAGCTAAAAAAGAGGATTTGGTAGCAAATGTAGGAGGTTCACACATACCTGTTTGCTATCACCCACCCCTCACATACCCTTCTCCCCCGCAAAAACACACAGTCACGCAGTGAGACACACACTGTCACAAATGATCCAACACAAGCAGAGTCATGCGCGTGCACACACACACACACACACACACACACACACACACACACACACACACACCTCTCAAACTAACTCTCAAATAGTCTGGGCTTCTCTCACTAATACAGCCTCCGCTAACACACCCACGCACACAATGTTTCACACTCACACGGACACATTTCACACACAAAATCTCTCCCAAAACATCAACACTCTCCCTCTGTGTCTAGGTGGTCCTGGCAGTGGCAAAGGAACACAGAGTCTGAAGATCGCCGAGCGCTACGGCTTCCAGTACGTGTCTGTGGGCGAGCTGCTGAGGAAGAAGATGATCCACAACGCCACCAGCAACAGAAAGTGGAGTCTGATCGCTAAAATCATCACCAACGGAGAGCTGGCACCACAGGTAGCACAAAAACAGAGTGGTGTGTGTGTGTGTGTGTGTATGCATGGAGCCAGTTGGTGTATTTATTGTTTAATCATAATTAAAGCAGCAGGTCAAATAGCTGCTAATATAATAGCTCCTCAAACATCCAGGACATCATTATTATGCTAATTAATATATGGCAATATTATTTTTTTAAAGCAGCATTCTTTTCTGATTATTATTTTGTCTACCCGCTGCAGATAGATAGATAGATAGATGGATTGATAGATAGATGGATAGATAGAGAGATAGATAGAGAGAGATAGATACATAGAGGGGGAGGGGTAAAGTGAGAGGGTCTGGCAGTCACCTCTGTTGTAGGTTTGACCATGGTCCATTACTGACACTGTCAGGTAGAAGAACAACATAACACAGAAGCCTTTAGCATTGGGTAGTGAGTGTGTGCTGTTCTGAATGTACTTGTGTGGAATACGACTAAGGGGTGGGTGTTCTATGGGAAAAATGTCAGTCTGTCTAATGTGATTTCTTTTATAATTTGACTCACTATAAATTCTTGATATAAAGTTGCAGGCCTGGTTAACAGGGTCCTGATTATGTTAAATCTCACCTCTTCTTCCCAACATTCCCTTATCTCTCATCCTCATTTTACTTAGTATAAAACTCTTGCTGTGTCTCAATTCGGGCACTTAACTGCTGTACTTTCTATGTTGTTAACTAGCTAGCCAACAACACATAACATAGCCAAGATGGCGACCATTGAGTGTTCCATACTGAACTTTATGAGCGTTGATTAGTTTACCATTCAGGTACACATACATTAGTGCATTGTGTTTTGCCATACCTAGTATTGGGATGGTCTTGGGATGTACAGCAAATCTAAGTACATACAGTAGAAACATGTAAATTGAGACACAGCCTATGACTTGTTTTTTTCTACCAATCATCTACAACTCTCATGATCATGAGCACTTTTTATTCCAACCAAACAGCTGAGTAAAATGGAGGAACTCATTTCTAAAATCACCCACTGAGGTGATCAGTGGAATGTGGTTAACCACCACTGCTTTATAATAGCATATACTAAATGAGCTAACAGCAGAAAATCTAACCCTGAAGTAGGTCACACTAACTAACCCTGACTTGAGAATGTGTAAGGAAGGGGAAAATAATCATCTTACAGCTAGTTAATGAACGGTGTCCAACTGAATGGTACAGTATGTAACACACAGGGAGAGCACTTAGCTTGGGTATACAACTGAAGAGTTACTGCAAATACCAGACTGGGGTAAGAGAAAAGAGAGAGGAGAGATACAAAGGGGATGAGACATGGTACCTTCACTTTCGATTGTGTCGACTGCATCATTCACCAGTCGAATGACCGTCACTATGGAGGCTTGTGGAGGGAAAGAAGGAGGAGATTTGTAAATACAGTTATCCAAAGTCAAAAGATGTCGTTATGGCGTTGCTTATGGCTGCCCGCTGCTGCCAGTCCTTTCTGCAGAGAGGGCTACCTGGTCTGCCTCAGGCACACTCAAGACTTCTTGTCCAGATTTTGATGTTCGGGGGCAATTTGCAACATTTTTATGGAAACAAATAAATCAGAAATGACTGCCAAAAAAAAGAAAATGAACTTCACAAATAAAGCAATGTGAGAACAAAAAATATGTAAGCATAGAACCAAAAACACTACACTATACTGCTTTTCCTTTTAGGGACTTACTTATCTGGTACACCAGTCGGACTTAAACAAGCAAAGAAATGAAAATGGCATCCATTTTAATATGGCTGCAGCACAACTCAAACATTTAATCATTGATGATTAAATCATTAAATAATGTCATCATTTTGGAAACCAAAACGATATATTTGGATCATTCTGAAACAATTAAAATCAATTAATTTCATGGGTTGCAAATAAAATCAGCATGATGCAATGCAAATGACAACAAAAACAGCTCCAGCACAAAGACCACCACAGTGTGAAGCGATGAAAACCCCTGAGCTTCTTCAAGAATGCTTTCAGTGACCCTAAAATCATGAACACATGTAAGAAAGTATTTGGAGACTTTTGGAATGCATTCCTGCATTATTGTACAGCAATTCAAAATTGATAATACATGCATACATACCTGACTGAATTCACATAATCACAATTGTTAGCAGTTGCACATGATTGACAACATATTTTGGATTTTGCTTATCTTCTAGCCTTACCAGTAGTAGCAATCACAAAAACAACTATTTGTATGATTTAAAAAACAACTTTGATAAATGACAGATGGAAGAGACACGTAGTATATATTACCCTAATAGGGGTTCCCCATGTTTCTTATTTTACCTGAGGCATGACTACAAGAATATCGAAATTCCATTTTTTCTGGCATTCTGATTATCCTAAAAACTAATTTCTAAATGTAATCGTTTATTTGAACCGGGACAATGCACATTAATGAATATTTAAAAAATAAATAATGCTTTCAAATGTAAATGAGCTGGATTTTAGCTTTGAGCTAATTTCCATCCGTATTCTTGGCTAGTGCAAGTGGCGTGTCTTACCATTATCATCACAGGAGTCAGACTGGAAGGAGCTAAGGGATTGGACCTCTGAGTTGCTGCCTTTGTTGCTCCCTGAGAAACACGTTACTTCTTCTGCCATGTCAACCATCTTTCCTGTAGGGAGAGGTCAGGGGTCAGGAGGGACATATTCCAAAACAAAGACAAAAAACTAATTGGGTTGCTCTATTGTTGATCTTTTGTTTATAGAAGATATGCGTCAGCAGTTTGATAACCCTAACCCAAACCCCAACCCTAACCCTAGCACAAAAGGACCAGTACAGCATCTATAGGTTACTTATTTATCCATATAGAATTAACTCATTAACGTTAAAAAACACCACTTACTTTGGCAGGAAGTAAACACACACAGACTCACCCTCATCACTGTCCCATGGGCTCTTGCATAGGGAATCGCAGTCTGAGCGGCAGGGGGACACTGGCGGCAGGTTGGGGGCCACACTGCACACCACCACCCCCCTCCTGGTGGTTCCCGACAGGATCCTTGGGGACTCGGGGTGAAAGGTGCTCATCTCCGTATGCTCCACACCGCGCCCATCCACCATCTTCTCCAGCGTGGACCGCGGGTCTCCTTGGAAACAGGGGGTGTATGCCATGGGCCTCACAGGGACCTGTGGAGGACACATCATCCCGCCCACTCCCAGCACGGTGGGCTCTGAGTACAGGTTGAGGGGGTCCCCTGGTGTGCAGTGAAGGGTCTTAAACTGAACACCGTTGGCCTTGTTGAGGAGCGCTGCAGTAGCCGGGTCCTGGACCAGAGACAGGTTGTTCCGCGAGTAGTTCTTCTGAAAAACCTTCTTGCGGAAAGCGATGAAGAGGATGATGAGGGTGACGATGACAAAAAGCACCACGGCGATTCCGATCAGCTCCTCTTTACCGACCACGGTGTGACCTGCCTGCATGTCGGGGACCACCACGGGTCGCAGGCCGCAGCGTTGGCCCACAAAGCCCGCCGTGCAGTTACAGTAGAAGGATCCGTAAGTGTTGACGCAGAGGCCGCCATTCTCACACTCACCCTCCAGATTGCTGCGGTCACATTCGTTCACATCTTCCTCACACCTGCAGGATGAGGATGGAGGAAACAGGAAAAAGGAAAGGTGTGAATTTACAAATACAAATAACTTCTGAAAGATCAATGACCTGCTCCCAGATGGATCGCATTGTGAGTGACAGAGTAAATGCACTGCGGATAGATTGCAGAAGTAGTCCCTATGCCAGCACTATCCCTTTGTCTGTAATATGGTCTATTTGCGGTGCCAGAGCCATTTGGCTTCTTACAAACTAAAAGAGAGTGTAAGCTGAAGGCTAAAGACAAGATAATTATAGTTTCTTTACTTTACTTTAATTTGACGTTAAGTATTGCGTTTGAGGAAGATGAAAAGTAGAGAGCAATATGTAGAACTTTAATGTAATGCTGCCTTATTGTGGTCAGGAACAGCAACTGCAGTCAATACATGTTTTGTTTTTTTTGTTTTTCATTGAATTAAAAAAAATGTTTGGTTATTAAATATTGACTGAAAATAGTACAATTTAAGGTCCTTGAGTTGTATTTTGAAATGCCCATTCAAAGCACAATGTAGAAATTAACACACACACACATACGTTTTGGTCAGCAGGTTAATCTTCAAAAATAGCTATACTTTAGATAGATAGATAGATAGATAGAAAGATAGACAATACATATAAATGTTGTTCCAGCAGCATTACAAAAGTAACAAATGTTTAAAAGATAATCTTTAACGATTTTCTTTATGATTTAACTAAATGTATCTCTTAAACTTGTCTTAACCATTGATCTTATTTCATAACCAAAAACACGTTCAAGGACCATTGACCCTGAAACGAGCTAACAGGATGTGGTGAAATGATAACTTATTACCAGGTTAAAGGAATAATTCCTGAACCACTCAATGGAGAGACTGCTAGAGACGTGTAATACAAATACATTTGTACAGGATTGTGTGTGTATAGACTCACATCAGGCCCTTGAAACCTCTCCTGCAGCTGCAGAAGAAGGCGTTACCGATGGGTTTACATACTCCGCCGTTTTGACACGGGTTGGGAACACACGCCGTGATCTCCATCTCACAGCGCCCTCCGGTGTACTGGAGGTTACAGCTGCATGAGAACCCTGCGCACACAGACAGGCAGATACACTTCATTAAGAATGCAGAGCACAGACACACACTTTTGGGAAATCACATGAGTACATCCACACAGCATAATAAAGACATACAAACGCACGCATGCACGCATGCACGCACGCACGCACGCACGCACGCACGAACACACACACACACACACACACACACACACATCTCTGACACACAAATCACCAATACACACGAGAATACGCTGGGGAATTTGCATTTTTATTGTGTGTACGCAATACACGAGACACACACTAACCTTTCCACAGCGCTGTGTAAATGACAACAGTGGGCAATTCCCAGGATGCTTTGCTCATTATGGTGTAAATGAGTAACATGTTGCGTGAGGAAGGTCTTACAACTGTGTTCAGTGAAGCCTAATGGTTCTGTAGCCTCGCACCATCACACACACTCTGCTAACACAGAGGCTGGTGCATTCACTTCACCCTCAAGGTTGTGGGTATTTCAACCGTCAGCAACTTTTTCACAAAAATCTCTTGAATCTTGGTTCATTATTTGAGTACCAAATGATTATTTAAAGCTTTTGGGTTTCCCCTTTCCCTTAGTGTGTTATATAGTTTAGCACACAATCATTGTCCAGTAAAGTAAACCTTTTTTAAACTAAAAAGTGCAACTTAATATGCTTTTTGGGGTTTTCCCTTTTGTGTAGTGTGTTATATAGTGCCTGTAAATGGTATCCAAAGGCTAAAATCCATGCCAGAGCCGGAAACGCCTCTATTGGACTCCTTTGTTTACTTCTGTAACATAGTGACATCACTATGTAACACTCATGCTTCTATTGGCTACTGTTCCAACACATTGTACAGGATATGCTAAGGGGTAAGACATCTCTAAGTGACATCAACCAAGTATTTTCAATACACTGAACAGTTTTTATCCCTTTCAGGACCTCCAGTGTGAGGTAGCTGCACTTCCTGTTACTTACCACCGGAAGGCAGGCTGGTGCAGGTTGCTCCGTTGCGACAGGGCTGCTGCAGGCAGGCGTCAGGGTAGAGGATGCAGCCTAGCTTCAGCTCTGTCAGTCCCACCACCTCTGCGTATCGAGAGCGTTTGTTCTGCAGCGGCAGCTCGTTGTTGTTCAGCGTGACCGAGTCCAGGCAGCCCTGGAAGCCTTCGAGCACCCGCGGGTCCTTCTGTGAGTCCACCAGGCTGCGAGAATTAGGGTGCTGCACCTGAGGAGAGAAGGGGCAGAAATTACTATATGAAGAATACAGGAAGAAGTCAATATTTACGTTTTTTCCTAAGAGTAGTGTTATGACAGATTCCTTATACAGCGTATTTCTCGCTTATTTATTCAGGCAACACAGGTCAGAGAGGCTCCATTGCGGCAATTATCAGCAGATGTACCCACGTTAAGTAAATTGACCCAATGTCAGAGGAAGTACAAAGGCGCTGATTAGATTATTATACAGTTAGTTTGTTAGTAAAGGTAAGGAAAATTGTATGTGGTCGTGTGCAAACACATATATAGTTTGTTAATTGGGAAAGTCATATACTGATAAGATATTAATTACTCCTAAAGACGTCATGAGATGATGACCTTTTGACATCTGGAACATATTAACATATCAACTAATCTATGTTCGTGCGTTAAACCAGGGCTGCCAACATTTGAGTTCAGCTTGGAGTGAGATTTTTTTTTTGGTGAACCGAAAAAATAAACATTCATGTCTGAACTCAAATGTTGGCAGCCCTGGTTTAACGCACGAACATAGATTAGTNGCTTACACCTATATGCCATTTTATATGCTGTGAGCTGATTATCGAGCCTTCATTGTAAGCGTCGCGGGTACGCTGTGTATGTGCGTATTGCGTACACATGAACGTTTCTTTTTTCGGTTCACCAAAAAAAAAATCTCACTCCAAGCTGAACACAAATGTTGGCAGCCCTGCAGCGAAACACAGCCAAACTCACCCTGAGCACACACAAAGTCACAGCCGAAGTAAAAACAATAAGTGTGGCTTGATATTGAGTAAGAAAAAGGTTGATAAACGCTGTGAGAATGGGTCTGCTCTGCAGAGAGAATTTCGCCGCAAATCCCAACTGTCTGTTATCAGCCTGCAGCCAGGGAGGAGAAATCAGCAGAGCTGTCTGCACTGTGTGTGTGTGTCTGCACTGTGTGTCTTCACTGTGTGTGTGTGTGTGTGTGTGTGTGTGTGTGGATTGGTTCATTTGGAC